AGCACCTTGCAGATACAAACCTTTCACCAGGACACCGTCCTTTCAATCAAAGAAATCAAACAAATTTCAATGTTATGTCGGTTAGTAATGTTAAATATTCTATTTAATTGTTAAAACTTTTATTTGTCTCTTAGCAAATAACAAGCTGAAGTAAAGTTTTAAATTGGAAACTAACAATGTTTTCTACTTTTTAATAATTTTTTTATTTTAATTTCTTACTGATTTCTAAAAAAATTAATTTTTCAATCATTTTTTTAATACAAATTAATAATTATGAAAAATTTATTGTTTTTTAAATTTTCACCTTAGGAGCTGAAACAATATTGCTATCATCTACGGTCATTACACTGAAATCCCATGATAAAAGATCCATAGATATCTGAAAGTTAAAAAATGTAATATTGACAATTTTGTAATATTGTGACGAGAAGAATTAAAAATGAAGGTGTTATTAACCCCATTATTCCTTGAAAATGTTTGTAGCACAGCGTTTAAAAAAGCAATTGGGTGTATGAAGCCTGAAAACCAAAAGATTTTTGGAGAATGGGCGGTAGATGCCCATATTTGAAATTGTTCAACTCTGTAAACTAAATCACGTGTCCAAGCGTACAGTAATTTCTGGGATGGATACACCTATAATTTAACAATTTAAAAAAAATAAACAAATAGGTTCGGTAATAAATTAAAAAGGTTTAATTTTAACAAACGAAGATAAGGTACAATAAGCAGGGCATAAAATATGACATGAAAGGATCAAAATAATAAGGCGAAAATATAATGCAAAAATACAAAATAAATAAAATGTACTTCATTATAAAAAAATATAAGAGTTTATGACATTTTTTGAAAAAGTTAGCTTTGAAACGGCACTCCCTTTGAAAGAGGTGTACATGATCACAACCGCTGCCATAATTCTTAAAGCAATCATAAATATTATCTAAATGATTGTCTGGTTTATTTACTTTTAACCAGTGATGACGAGTACTTAAGTACATTTGTACTTAAGTACGTACTTAAGTACAAATGCAGTACTTAGATACTTATACTTAAGTACATATGAAAACCTGTACTTAAATACTTATACTTAAGTACATTTTTCAGTACTTGTACTTATAAGTAATAAATTTTTCCTGTAAGTACCAGAAAAATTTTAAGCAAAAATAAGATAATGTCAACATTTAAAAATTGAAAACTGTGATGAAAACACACACACACATTTTCACATTGACATTCTTGTTTATCTCTCTTATCAACATTTGTTCTTGTTTAGTCATGAATAGCGGGATGTTAAGATAACCATTGGCTAATTGAGTCATTAAAAGGTGGTTAACTCACATCACTCTGACATCTATATATCTATATCATAGACTCTACATGATCTATATACACATGCACGCTATATATAGTAGTTATTATATATATATATATATATATATATATATATATATATATATATATATATATATATATGTGTTTTTATAAATATATGTGTTGAAGTGATTTTGATGAAAATGGCTGATAAAAAGNATGCCTTTAGTAGTT